TTCAGTGCGTAGATAGTTTTTCTCCATTGGAGATGCTCAAGAGGACTAAAAAACAAGGCTGGGTCCTGTGTGTCTCTCTCTCCCTGCTTCTCCCAGCTGTCTGAATGAACCTTTTGGAAATGTAACAATACAGAAAGCCAGTTAATTTTGGTTTTTGTTCCCATGTCTTCAGCAACTCATTTGATTATTTCCAAAAGCTAAGGGAGAAAATTCTCTTTGCCCATATATAAGTTGTTAAAATACGTTTTCTTTTTTGCTTACCTGGCACAGATCCACAGAGGAAAGGCAGTCTAATTACATTTCCAGCACAGTGGTTCTTTGAAGTATGAACTAATTAGGAATGGGCATTGCAAAAGTTTAGACCAGCACTCAGGAAAAGAATGCATCATGTAACCATCACTAATTCATTAGGATAACCAAAGCTTGTTTCCTTTGAGTAAAGATTTGCACATTCTCACCTACAGCACTGTACTATATAAAATACTTCTTTGTAGCTCCTCTGAAAGCACAACTCTGTTTAAAAGTAAATTAGCCAGCCAAATTGAAAGGCTAATTGCCTTGAGCTTCAAGTACAAAGGATATCCACACTTAGATTTCTTTGCCAGCTGCAAGAGGCTGAGGGAGATGTGTTTTCAGAAATCCTAACAGGATATCTCATTACACTTCAGAATTTTAATGTGGTGTCATAAATCACTAACTTATTCTTGCTCCAGTATTGTTTGCAGAATCTATTGAGATAGATCAGTTCTGTGTACTGGGGAGGAAATGTGGTGGAGGGACAATCCTATTTAGTCTGGTAACAGTTTATGTCAAATACCTGAAAAGGTCTTAAACTAATTTTTCTTCTGACCAAAATCATAAGAGGAAGCAATGTAAAGTATATCTGGTTTGATTCATAACTTGTTTTTGCAAGAGCAAGACAGATGGGGTATACAATCCCTCACAGACTTAACATTTCTCTGGATCAAGCTGGATATATGGATGCTCTTCTGTGTTTCCTGCCTTGTTTTTCTTGTTTTCCCATTCTCACCTTTCAATTTTTAATTGAGTCTAATCCCCATTGAGTAAATACAGTGACAACCTTTGCAATGTGTATGTCCAGTGTGGTTCACAGAATCATGTCCTTTTTGTATTGATCATTTTAATTTGCGGATATTGTTATGTATCAGCTGCTGCTAAGACTTGGCTTACACTGTGCTGTGTTAAGGTTATACAGAACTGGGAGCTTGCAGGATTGATCTAATGTATTTTCTCCATATGATAATTCCCAACCCTTCTGCCTTTTAATGAACTCATATTCATGTTCTTACTCATACTCTTCAACTTCTAAATACTTTACAATCCTACCTATAACAATTACTCTAAATTACTTTTTGGTTTCAGAGAATGTAATGATTATGTAACTCCTCTTTATTCTCAGCTCACTGACTGTAGTCTCAAGTAGCTGCTTCTGTTACATGATAATGTTATTGAGCTATGTGTGAACCTGAGGAATGAAATGGCTCTGTTTCATATCTGACTCCTGGTGGGTGAGAGCAAGTACCACCCAGAACACTTCACAATCTATCTGTAGGAAGAAGCTCTTTTTGAAAGAGAAAAACACTTGTCAGATGTGTGCTTGCATAAATTTGAATGACTAGAAAGTTTAGAGACTAAGAACAAAGTGGTTGGTTTGTGTTTTTTTTTTCTTGTTTGTGTTTTTCCCTATTACAAATTAATGTGTATGTACATGTTTCTTTCATAAAAGTTTAAAGCATTCAGATAGCCTTCTAAGGAAAGGTTAGCTTGTGCAAGGCAAACCTCATTCATGGTGAGGTTCTTAACACTGACTCAATGCAGAATTGTACTTGTGCTGGGTGTTCTAGAACCAGGACGTTTCAAAGGTGTGATTTTCCAACCTGAACTTTAAAGAAGAAAGGAAGGATACAAAATTTTGAAAACAGTGGAAAATTTCCTTGTGCGTAATAACTTTTTTAGTTCTTGAACAAACACATACAACCACAAGATGTGCCCGTTTATGGTAAAATCTGTATTGCTGTTTTATGGAGAGATGAGAAAAACATCCATACTTTAAAATCTCAGCATATGTTTGCCACCAATATTTTCTTTTTATAAACTCTAGAAGAGACTAAACAAAGCTTTTCAAATGCAGTGATTTGTTCTACCAAATGATCAGATCTCCAAATCCCAGGAGGGTGAGGGCTGGGATTTCTGTAAGGAGCAAGCAGATTTCTGAGGCTTGGCATGGTCTTGTCTCTGGCTGCACATAGGGGTTCTGTCCAGGGTTGGACTGGTCAGAGTATGCTGCTGGAAGCCCTCCTATGCTCAATGTAGGCATTTTCTCAGAAGGGATTTCCATCTGCTGCTCCCATCAGTTGTTGGGAGGTCATGACTGCTTATAATCAGGCCACCTTCTAATTTAGATGCAGAGCTTAAGGCAGCGAAGGTTGTTTCAAAATTTCAGCTTGTGGTTTTTAATTCTTAAATTAGTAGCAAGAGATTGCTTCAAGGACTCATTTGTCTGGTGTATGCAACTTTGTAGTAAAACTGAAATTATAGTTATTTTTTTGTTAAAACTAGAGTGTACCTTGGCAGTGATTTGTTTTTATTTGTTTGAAGGTTAATTTTCTTTCTATACTGGCAGCTGGGATGCCTAAGGGTGCAGGTGCAGTGTGTGACTCCTTGCTGTGCTCAATTGTTCTTTCTGGGTGCATCCATGTTTATAAATACTTCTGGTTATGTCAGGACTGCACTTTTGAGGCAAATGTTCTGATTTTCCCCATGTACCCTGCTTTGGCCCATAATTGAGCAGTCTCAGACTTCACCAAGGTTTTGTTCCTTTGGAGGAAAGGCAGCAGAAACCTGCAGTCCAGGAGTGCAGGTGTCTTGTGCCGCAGCGCTAATGCAGCACCAGCCCAGTGCTTTCCAAAACAGCCCTCCTTGGGAAGGCATTGGTCCTCTTACAGGCAGCTCATCAGTCTTCCTTCTGCTCCATGCAGCTTCCTAATGCAGAGATGTTTGCCTCTGCCAATTTTAGTGGTATCCAAACCAACTGAGCTTCATTAAGATCTTACAGATGATTGAAATAACTGCTGAATGATATTTTTGATTATTTTCTGTCTGCAACCAAACGTACAAGATTTCTGACAGGCCAGGATTTTTAAACTGCAACATATTTTATTATTCTATAATGGTTTCTATGTACAACTTGTAAAAGAATTTTTGTTTCATAACATTTTACTTCAGAGAACAAAAGTCACAACAGTGACGTTGAAATAAAAAATTACAGAAAACAAAGGGACTAGGGGAGGTTATTGACGGCTTAAAATACATTGGAAAAAAACAAATACTGAAGCTCTAAGGAGATTAAATTTTCAGATGAAAATGTTATCTTAGCTCAGCTGAGTCAAGGATCTTGGTTGCTTGCCTTGAAATATGATACTTACACTTAAATGATTTAGTGTGATAGTCTGTAGCCTAGGTTTTCAGGACCACCAGTATTTTGTTTTTAAATTAAGTACCTATGCACTACGATTATTTTTAATAATTAGTTTTATTCTTATTTGATGTGATTTATACCTTAATGTGTCGTTAACAGTTCTGTTATCAAACAAACAATGTTATCTATAAGAAAGATATGAAGTCTATTTACCATACTTGATCAGTGAAGTGTACTTGAAGCAATCTGTACCAATACTAAAATGTTAAGCATGGGCTAGGAATGTGAGGAAATACTCTATCCTACCATATAAATGACTAAATAATTATGAAGATTTTTCTCAGTACACCCCTGTGCCAGAGAACAGAACAGACTTTCTCTTGGTAGCAAACTTAACTGGATTATGAGAGAGATACTCTAGTGTTACTTGTGAATGCTGCACTCTTCTGGGGAGGATTACTGCCGCTTTTGGTTTAAAAGTTTCTGTATTTCAGTGCTCCCACCTAACAGGGTGGTAGGTGTACACGAAGTTCTGTGCTGCTCTGGTTCCCAGGCTGGAAAAGGGACCTTGTGTTTGAAGTCTTGTGCTTTTGAAACCTGAGCACAGGTGCACTCTTGCCTGCAAAGAGCTGCTTTTGTGCACTGCTCTCTGAGCCAGCCTTTGGCCATCCAGAGTATTTGGGTGGTGGGGGATAAGAATAAACATCAATTTGTGTAGCTAAGAAAACAGAATTATTTTTATATGAGTTACCTTAGACCCTCTATTTCTTCTCTGCCGGTTTAGCGCCATACCTTAAATGAAATATGGACTTTCTGCCTATATATATAAAATTGTACTTTGTGCAGCTTGATGATGAGGTTTTTAATTCTCTAGGGCAAGTTAATATTTCAGGCTCTTGGCTTGTTGTTCAGGAACTCGCATTTACCATGATTTTGTGTAGTTTGCACAAGACTAATGTTTAGCTGACTTTCTGCTGTACAATAGTTTGAGTTGTGAAGGTATGGATGGACAAATATTGATAACATACGGTCTTTGTATGAAGCTGAAGATTTGGATGTATGTGAAAGTGGAAAGGCTTCATTAGTCTCATTTGAATAGTCTGCTGTCTTCCAGTGTTTCCATAAGATTTCTTGCTGGCATCCTTTTTGTTGAATAATTGTATTTGAAGCAGTGGGCACTGCTATAGTCATTGGAAAGTAAAAAGCTCTGGCACCAGTGTTTAGTAAGGCAAAGGAAATGTATTTGAAAATAATCTTAACCTCTGCTACAGATGCAATAATAAATCTGCTTTAAAATAGAGAGCTTGCTTAACAAAATAATGAGTTGTTGCAAGTTGCTGTGCACAGACTGTGATACATTGCCAACTTATTATTTCTGAGCTCTGTGGTGTCTCACAAATGCTTTTATTTCTATATTAAGCAATGCCTCTGCAGTTTGGAACCTTATTTGTTAGAACTGGTTGCTGGGTCGTGTATTGCAGCATTTTAAAAAAGAAAATGCAGTTTTAATAGTAAGGATTTTTTGCTCTCTAGTAACAATTTGTCTCTTTTCCTTGTAGGTATGAAGCGTCCATTAAGTCCTGACCACATCATTGAAGATGGGATTATGAATCAACCAGCTGCTCTACGCACCTTTGAGGAAAAAGGACTGAGGAATGACAGACAGGATTACCAATTAAGCAAAGAAAAAAAGAAGATACTGTTTTCCTTCTGTGAAGTGTGCAATATACAGCTGAATTCTGCAGCCCAAGCTCAAGTTCATTACAATGGGAAATCTCACTTGAAAAGAGTGAAGCAGCTAAATAATGGAAAACTCCCTACAAGTACAGCTCCTGGCACTTTGTTTGCAAGTACAAGCACAGGTACGTAATTAGTTTGAGATGTGTTGTGTTTTGGTCAAGAATTCTGAGGAAGCTTTTAAGCTCTACCTTCTCTACCCAGTATAACCATTAAACTTAATATGGATTAGTACTAGTAGTTAATAATATTTTGGCATGTTTAGAGTTACTGGTGTATTTCTTTTCCTGGTCTATTTGAAAGTAACTCTTGTGTATCCAAACACTTACACATTTTGTCATCTGCTTTTGTTCCCAAAAGAAAGTTCTGGAGGGATGCTACATGCACAGGAGAAACTTTAAAATGAAATCTAGTAATGGAATGATGGAGGAGGAGAGCTGGAATTTACAGGCCTGGCCCTTTCATTCTTTCTGCTTTCAGCCCTCGGGGTTTTAACCACTCTTATCCATAGAATCAGTTTAGGTTGGAAAAGACCTCTAAGTAAGAAGTATTTCAAAGCAAGACTTTTTACTTACTAGGAAAAACAAAAGTCTTGGGCAAAATGCATCTAGCATGCATAATGTGAAGATACAAAGCACATAATATGCCCTTCTGTTCATTTGGGGGGGGGGATGTTGTTTTTTTATTTTAATGTTTGACTCTGTTCATAGCAACTTGAGAAAAATCCAACAGATCTTGAATCTTCATACAAGAAGTTTTCTTAATTGTAGTATTTGTTTTTATTTGCCACGTTAAGATACTGGCTTTGGTTTCTTTTGTTTTGTATAGAAACAGTCAAGCTGCATTGAAAGGTTTAGCTTTTTCTTCTGATTTTGTTTCTTGTTAACTGGATTTTACTTGTTTTGAAGTCTGTGATACTGTTTTGTTTGACTTAGTTCTAAGCAGTGTGAGAGTATCAGTTGTGTAAGTTGTGTGATTCAAAAGATGAAATTCTTATTGAATAACTTCTAGATTAATTAATTGTGAGCATTCTTAAAATAACTGGATATCTGTGAGATGTTATGATTGATTTATGATTCCCCTGTGTGTGGACCTACAATGCAGACATATAAAAACATTTTCTATTTTTCTTGCTTTTTGTTATCTTAACCCCTTCATCTGATGCCTTTGCTGTCATTGCTGGTGATCACAGCTGATGCTCTGGCACCATTACTCAAAGAATGCTCTGATGCTCAGAATACAAGTATGTTTGCTGGAGCACATGCTTTGGGGTTACTGCATAGCTTGAGACTTAAGATGTGTGTTTCTTTGTACTTTGTTCACCACTCTCTGTATATTAGACTCTCAGTTGTGTGCTGGTTATGCTGGTCTATCTGGTGCATGTTGAAATAAGCATTCCTTTTTTTCATAGCTGAGGGATATTGTGTTCATAGCACTGAAAAGAAAGAAAAGCCTTCTAACAGACAATTTATTATTACTGTGATTACATAAACAATTTACTATACTGTTTAAGAACTAGCGAGAGAACAAGATTTACTGAGATGTAGTTCTCAAAGAACATTTTCCAAAAATAACTAGAAATTAATTTTCTTTTAAATGGACATTATCCAGGCTCAGTTTTAATCCATGTCCTCTGGAGTGTTATTACCTCTTGTAATGGAGGTCTTCCTTTCCCATTTCTTCAGCTAACATTGTAAACAGAACTAATTGTGCAGATGGTAAGAGAGCAATTATATTAATCTCACCTCACCAGTGAATAGATATTATTCCAGATGCAAAGAAAGCAAATAGCCTCTCTCATACTTCACTGTTATAGCTGCACCCTTCTAACAAAGCACCTAGTGAACAGTTCAGCACACCTTAGGAAACTTCCTGCAAAAGTTCCATCCAGTGTCAGGTTGGAGTTTTTCCTCTGTGTTCAATAGATAAATGTGAAATCAATAATATTCCCCCTGGAAAATGAGGTGACTGTAAAATATACATGACTGAAAAGTTTCCTGGACCCTTCAGAAACCAGGATTACAGACCTGCCAGAACTGTCGTGATTCTGTGTGACAGAACTGATGGATTGCTGACTCCAGCTCTTCATGACACTTGGTAGACTTTGTTATAAATGGAGATGAGGCATGTTTTCATAGTCATTCTGTTTTGTGGTCCTCTCTGTGACAGGTGGCCCTCAGTTGTTAGCAAATGTCCTTTTAATTTTTGACTTCTACTGTGCTTCACAACTATAAGCTCCAGTTGTTGCTCTTAACTTGATGGTAATGGTCCTTGTACTACTATTGGAATGTTTATTAAGATTTGATACCTGGGATTCCAGGTCCTGGAAAGGATACCTTTAATTGTATATATGCAGGGCTTTTATATATTTAAAATCTAAATATAATTTTAGAGATGAGTTTAAAGCTACTTCTTTGTATTTAGAGTAAGGGTGCAATTGTCATAGGATTTAAATATATATTTAGCAACAAATTTTTCTAAAAAGTTTCCTCTATTTCTAGTTAATCTTGCCTTGCCAAGTTCTTTTGCTATTGTACCTCTACCTGCAATTTAAATTACTTCCTAGCAAGTGACATTTAATAGAAAATAAAGATTTAAGAGCTGCTTTTCTTCATATTGCCACAATCAAGAAATCAGTGGGTTACACTAGGTCATTTTGGTGATTTGATCCACTCATTGAACTTCTCATTTTATTTACATTGCTGTTGAAAACTGGAAGAAAAGAGCATTTGCTTGGGAAATACATTGCACACAGTGAGCCTTCCCTCTTGGCTATGTTAGTGCTTATTACCGGCCATGCCCACCATGGCTCTTAGTGCAGCCGCTCCCAGGGCCATCCCGACCCTTGTGCCAGGCACACGGACGTACAGACAGGCTTGTACAGACTGGCTGCTGTCAGCAGGACATAAATGCACTCTCATCGAAGTCAGAAAGTGCCTGTTTGCCTTCACAGCTTAAGTTGGAAATGATTTCATGTATTTCCTATGAAGAAAAAGGAAAAGAAAGGGTGATTTCCTGCAGCCTTGGGGAGAGGTATTTTGGAGCGAGCCAGTTTAAAGCTTTTCAGTGAGCTGGCCGTGCCGGAGCCTGCAGCGGATCCCAGCTGTCCCGGGTACCCGGAATCCACCTGCCCTCGCTGAGAGCAGGGGCTGAGCACCCGCTGCTCACGGGGCCGCGGCCAGTCCTGGGCGTAGGGCACGAACTTGGCTCAGGGCTGGTTGAAATCTGCTCGCCTCCTCCGTGCCTCCAGCGAGCTAACGAGGAGGGAATTGCTGCGGAGGCGGGATGCGCCGGGATGCTCGGTACCCACGCGATGGCGCTGCAGCCCGGGCCATGCCGAGCCGCGCGTTCGGCATCCCGGCGCATTGCTGCGGGGATAACTGCGGGGATAACTGCGGGGATAACTGCGGGGATAACTGCGGGGATAACTGCGGGGATAACTGCGGGGATAACTGCGGGGATAACTGCGGGCTGCTCCTAGCGCCGGCCGGGCATGCCGGGCACGGCTGCCTTGCGTTCCTCCCGCTTCCTTCTCGGAGGTGACACCGGTTTTGCGCCACGAATTCTCATTGCTTCCTCCATGGGGTGGTGTCTCCTGGCTCTCTCTTCTTTCCCCCATGGTAACGTGGGAACAGTTGGTGTAGTTTTTAGGAAGTGTACTAGAAATGCCTGTCAAAGTCCAGATTTTACAGATCTCTGGAAACGTGTTGGGAAGTTTCATCTTTGTTACAGAAGGTGCCCAGATTTAAATGTGGGCGAAGGAAAATCCCTTTTCCATGGGTCCTAGGCTGTTTTAAAGAGCACATGTGCTTCAGGACGCTCATTGATGCCCATGTGATCTTTCTGCAGGTCTGGCTGGAGGTGTGATTGGGATGTCAGGATGCACGGTATCCTGGCAGCAGCTCTGCCTTCTTGTTCTTGAAATCTGACCTTGCGTGACAGTTTTGGAAATGCTCTAGGACCCTATACCATGACTCTTTGTAAGGAACAGTGCTACAAGTTGTTGTGTCAACACTGCAATACTGAGGAAATAATCACAGGCTGATTTCCTGAGGTGTTACAAACACACAGTTTTGTGGTCTGGTTCACAGCACTGACAGACAGGGATTTGTTAATATAGCAAAATAAATACATAAATTATTAGACTTCTGTTGCGTTTGTCACTTACATCAGGTCACAAAAAGGGCCTAGTAGTGGAAGGGAGAAGGTAAAACAGCAGTTTTAGGCATGGGAGAAGAACAAGGGAGTTTGGACAAGGCAGGGCTTCTGCCACTTTTGATAACAGAGATTAGAGCTTCTTTGTCTCTTTGTGCAGTACCATATAAATGTTTAAATCTACTCAACCTATCAAGTTAATGGAGGCAGGGAGGCTTATGATTCAAGAGCTCAGATTATTCTTGATAGGATCCATGGACTGTATAGCTAACTTGCACATTAGTTTTCAAGAAAAAATAGAGATAGGAAGTGTGGATAGTATCTTCAGCCAAAAAATTTAACAGACTATCACTAGATTTTGAGAAATTATACTGAAATTATACATTCCAGATAGCCTTAGATCAGACCCATGATGGTTGGTTACAACAGAATGAATCTGCAGTGCACTGCTCTCATTTCAGTGGAGTTTTTACTTGGTTTTTGTCAGAAGAAACTAAACCTTAGTGCAGGTTTTTGTATGCAGGTTTTAATCTTTATATGGGCCAAGACTGGGTTTCTGACAGGTACCTTAGTTGCCATCTGAGACTGCTTTGTGCCAACATAATGGAGTACAGAACTTTTGCTTACTTTAAGCCTCTTGATCTAGGTCCTCAATTCCTTCTCAATGTTTGTTTTTCATTAATCTAAATAAAGACAAGGATAATCTGATTTTTATTGCAGAAGATCTTTATGAATTATTCTAGCAAGTACTCAGAGGAATGTAAAGCAGCAATTAAAAGTATCTTTAAAACGTTTGTGACCTGAGTCCTATTAAATACATGCATGTATAGCTATAGAATTAGTACACAAGTCTGTAGAGAGCACTGTGAGCTTACTCTTTTTTTTGTGTTGGGCCATAACCTTTTTTACTCTAGTAGAAGATGAGCACTTGTTCTGCCTTCATGTCAGCTGCCTACAGCCTGAACTTTTGGAAA